ACAGGATCACCTCAGCATGTCTCCCTCTTCCCAGATCCAGGCACATTCTCAGCCTGGGCCACTTCCATTTCCACAATCAGCTCCAAACAGAGGATCAGGATGCTACACTCTGGCCATCCCAACTCCTATTGTTGGAAATTGTTGGGTGCCCAGAAATATGCAAAAGGCCGAGTTCCCCTGAGCACCATCCGTGGCCCAACCCTCTGGGCTCTGCTCATCCTGAGGCCTGGTCATCCCCAGCAGAGCCACCTTCCTTCTCACATTGCCTATTTCAGCATTATTCTGTCTCTGTGGACAATGGATTAATCTCCAGTATGAGACACAAACACTAATTTGGCCTTCAAAAGATACTTTATTCCCAAAGCTGAGGTTACAAATACAAAACTTTCTCCTTCATGGCCTCTGTTCCCTGCCCCCCACCACCAGACAATTCCCCAGCCACGGTAAGATGCCTTCTGAACCTGCAATCCCTTTTGCAAAATACCCCAGTCTTTGCTCTTCCAGGCCCCCAAGGCTGGCTGGATCTTCCATTCACAGCTCAATGTGTTCTGTCTGGGGTGGCTTCTCCACTGCCTTCTTGGCAAAGAGTTTGGTCCAGAAAGCCACTTCCTTGTCCTTCAGCTTCTGGGCCGCCTGGGTGTTGGCACCAATCTGCAGGTACCCTTCCTCATGGTTGTACTCTGGCCAGTGGGGCAGCCCTTCCCCATTGGGGTTTCTGGAAACAGAATCAAATAGAATTACCCCACAGTTGCTGTGTGTTCCCAACAATCTTCTGAGATGTGCGAGGATGCCCAAGTTATCTCTGTCAAGAGGCTTGTATACCTCCCGAGATGGAGAGCTCACTATCACAGGGCGGCCTCTCCATTTGTAGAGAGTTCTCATTGTCAGAGTGCTATGGTCACAGGGTCAGGAGTTTGATCACTCGAATCTTAGAAGCTGCCCCTTCCCAATAGGCATGCCCCGCCCCAACCCACCCCTGCCCACCTTGACCAGTCCTGCTTTGTCTTTGCCAAGAGCCTCACCCATTGCGAGCAAAGTTGGCCCAGAATTTCATCACCATCTTGCTGAGTCTGATCTCCTCTTCTGAGGCACCCTCTGTGGGGAAGAAGAAAAAAAGCCTTTGTGACTCAAAGTGTGGTCCATGGACCTGCAGCATCAACATCATGTGCGAGCCTGCTAGAAACACAGTCTTGGCGAATGCTCCACACCCACTGAGCTGAGGTCTGCAGTTCTAGAAGATCCTGGTGCATTTGTGTGTACTTTACCTTTGAGTATATCTGACTGAGCACTCAGCAATGGGCATGCGTCATTCCATGTGCTGGCTGCCTTTGTCTCCTGTGACCCTCGCCTGCCTCCTCCCTGCTCAGGGACACAGGCAATGCCACACCCCAGGGTTTCCTCTATGGCAGCCCCACCTCCCAGGGTTGCTCTCTCTTGGGTCTTTTCTGCTTCCCCAGCACACACCCACAATTCACATTCTGAAATACAACAGAACCGCAAGGCTCCTAAGCATGTACAGTGAGATGCCCAGAGGCGCTGGTGTGTTCTGAGCAGCCATAGGGTGAGTCCCATGTGATCTGTAACTGCTGAGAGTTAAGGTTTAGAAGACATTGTGAGAGGACTTTAAAAAATATTGTATAATGTAAACTGAAAATAAAATCCTAACACCCCCAGCTGACTGAACAGACCCTCTCTGGGCTAAGGGGAGCCCAGAAAATCCTTCAACTGTGTTCCTGCCTGGGAACAGACAGGAGGTCAGACACGCCTCATAATATTCCATCTCTTTTGTGGTTTAGACACCACTGACCAGCATCAGCATTAAAATAAAGGTCATCATTCTGACAGAACACTCTCTTTGTGGCAATAAGACACCAAATTAAAAACGAGACCTAAGGCCACATCGGGCAAGGGTTCTGGCCTATATCTCTCCCCTTAAGGAATCCACTCTGTTCTCACTGCCTCGAGGTGCTTCTGTTTCTCTAGCAGCTAAACAAGCATTGGCTTGGACTTAAGCAAAATGAAAACAATTACAACGGCTGCAGCTGGGATACGCAGACAAACAGAACCCTGACCCTCCGGTCTTAACTATGGCTTTGATTGCATAAGAGACTGATTTCAGTAACTTTCTCCAGATAAAAACATCACCAACCATGCACTGGACCTGGCCGGTGTACAGAGGCTGCTCACTTGCTGGGCTTTGTATCCTGAGAAGATTTTGGACATATAGGCCCTAATTATAATATATTTAAATATTAGGTCTCCACTACCATGTGAACATGGGCTATCTTACATGCATGTTTGTTTAATACACATGTGTCAGGACTGTCTTCATGAATATCCATTGCTCCCCCTGTAACCTGTTGAACATGTGTGTTTAGCAAATCCATTCACATAAAGCTCTTACCCAACCCCTCCTCGATCAATGAGCCTATGTCTGGGCTTGGCCAGAGGCACCTTCCCAGCCTGTGGGATGGCCACCTTGCTGACTATAAAGCATATCAAAAATAAAGTCTCCTCTCCTATTCCAAATTCATGCATCCTGTGATTTCTAAATTAACAATTATTAAATGTATTAAATTTAAAAGTTTATGAGTTTTTGTTAGAGACAGACAGAAAGACAAACAGACACACATTAGACCTGACTCAGGGTTAACACCAATTCTAACCTCACCCTCAGTCACATTCTTAGCACTCCTGGGAGAGGGAAATTGATCGGTGGCTTCTCAACCTAGAACAGGGCCCTGCATGTGTCCCACCACCTATCTTGTTGATGACACAGCCCAGGATTCTGAGTGTCTGTGCAGAGGCCACCTGAATACACATCTTCCCTCAGGTGTGTTAGAGCAGGAGGAACCTGGGGCACAACCCAATGACATTAAACCCCGTCATAGTGAATCCTGCGTGAGATCACCCTACACCTGTCTTGTTGATGACACAGCCCAGGATTCTGAGTGTCTGTGCAGAGGGCACATGAAGACACATCTTGCCTCACATGTGTTAGAGTGGGAGGAAGCCCAGGGACTACCCAATAATGTTCAACCCTGTTATAGAGAATCAGGAAACTAAGACTAGGAGAGGAGAAACTTGCTGAAGCCCACCACACCAACACTGGAACCCAGGTCTCCTAACTCCAAGCTCACGGACAGCAAGGAGCCATTACCTTTTAAAAATGGGGCCCCAAGGACAGAGAAGAGCTCGTCCCCATGGTCTCCTATCACCGTCTTGGGTTTCATGTCTGATGAGAAGCTTGGACGATACTGAAACTCATACATGTAGGTGGGCGCTCCAGCATCTGAGAAGGCAAAGATTCATGCTCAGTTCATGTTGCCCGACACACACCTGGAGGCTACCAAGGTCTCCAGCTCTGCAGGAAACCTCGGGCTGTCAGCACAGTAGAGAAACAGAGTCACAGGAAAGCTCAGTGACGTGCTCCGGGCTGCATAGCTAGTTGACGTGGAACTGGAATTTGAGCCAGATATTTGTTCAATGAACAAATGTTTAATGAATGAATGTGGAGACCCTGGGTCAATTCATTTAAAATAACTGCCAGTGCAGGGACCCTGACTCAGCCTCATAAACCCCTTTGCCTGCTGGTGAATTCTCACAGAAGAAAATCTCTCTACATCTGGTTACACTGGATGCAATTCACTGATAACAGTCTCTCATTCATTCACTTGGACGCCATCTCCACCCTGACAAGTGTCTTCTGTTTTGCCTCATTTTGAGGATTTCCAGTGTTTTTCTCACCCATCCTGAGAAGACTGAAGCAAATCCAAGTTGCGTGTCTGAATGTGAGGCTATTTAAATACAAACATACGCAGAGAGGGAACAATCTGCCTCTTGTGTCTCAGGAATCTGTGGCGCTCACTGCTTTATATCTCACTGTCCCCATGTGTCTTGCTGCCTGCCTGGCCAGGGAGTGTTAGGGTGTTAAGGCATTAAAGTCCTGGCAGAGAAAAGAGGGGGTTGAGCAAGGGTGACCTTGCCTCTCCCCTGTCCTCTCTCCTTCTGCTCTGCCCTCCTATCCCAGCAACGAAACTCTCCTGTCCCAACCCCAAGAAGTGGACAGTTTCCCAATGATCGGCTCATTGGAGCCACACACCGCTGCCCCTTCAGGGCTACCTCGCGGGCCGCCCGGCCCTGTGCCTCAGCACTTTGCACTGGTCATGATACCCACTGAGAAGTGACACTAAGAAGGAAAGAGTCAGGGCAATGCCAGGCTGGTGGAGAAAATTTACAATGTCTTCCCCTTTGGGTACAGTAAGAAATTTGGAAAATAAAACAAAAACAACTAGGAATAATTAGAAAAGACAAAAATATGGAAACCCATAAAGCAAAACTAGATGTCACTCATAATTCCACTACCTGAGGCAAGGGCTATATTTTTTGTAATTCCTTCTAAAATTTTTCCATATCCTATATCATTTAAAAATGAATTTTATCAATCAAATTTAAAATATCACTCATAACTCTACCACTCAGAGAATGCTTCTTTTTTATTTTAGCATACCTCTCTTTCACGTATATAAACTTGGGATGATATTATATATGGTATTTTATAGTGTATATATACCATATATTATATACGGTATTTTTTAGTATAATTATTTCCTTTTTAAATGTGTTTGTATAAACAGGATCTCACTATGTTGCCCCAGCTGGTCTTGAAATCCTAGGCCCTCACAATCCTCCCACCTCAGCCTCCCAAAGTGCTGAGAGTATTGGCATAAGCCACCACCTCCAACCATCATTTCTTAAGATCCTTAAATATTCATCCACAAAAGGATTTAACAATGGGAGCTCACCCATCCCTAACCTCATGCCGCACCCACACATGTCATTTCAATGTGAGAATGAAGAAGAATCTATTCACTCATCTTTGTCAATCTCCTTCACTGCACCCTCGGCTCAGCAGGAAATGTGCTTGGGAAGATGCCATCCTTCTGTGGCTCTGTAATCCACCTGTTAAATGGCTGCCTCAAGGTCAAGCAAAACTTGCTAAAGGGAGGGTTTGACCTCGCCTTTGCCCCTTGAACATTTTCCAAAGAAACTCAGAGCCAACCATAGAAGAAAGAGCTTTGGGGAACGATATAACTTATTATAGGCAGCATGTTGCCCAAAACGTACTTTGTAAAACTCTTTGGTTAAAGCCATTGATATTTATACAATTCTTACAATCACAGCACAAGTCTTCAGAGGAAATTAGGGCACAGATTTGGGTAATGACAATTCGGCACAATAAGAGAAGCAGAGACAATGAGAGGGCTAATCATGAAAGACATGCAGATTAAAACAGGCTGATGTGCTTCTTATTGGTGGGGAAGGTTTATGAAACTGGCAGCATTACGTTAATATTTAACCTTAGCATCCCAAATGAGAAGGAAAATTACGAAATTCACATTCTTATGCAATGGATGCAATTTTGCAGTATTTGCCCAGAGTTCTAAAACGTTTCTATTGCCCAGCCTAGTTATTCACTTCTAGAAACAATCCAAAGAAAATTGTTAGACATGTGGTTAGAGACTTACGAACATTAGGCTGAGCACAATGTTATTGTAGCATCAGAGTGTGGGCAGCTAGGCTAAATGCATAATAGGATAGGAATATTAAAGTTAATTTAATGCAGCCATTCCATGGAAGAAGGAATGCTTTGATGAGTTTGTATCAACATTCAGAAAATCCTCACAACGTAGTGTTCTATGAACAAAAGTAAAATATAAAATTGATTTTTAAAGTGTATAGGACATGGAAAATCTTTAGATGAAAACACAAAAAATTTATACCACTTGCCTCCAGGTAGTGGAATTATGAGTGATACCTAGTTCCTTTTTTCTGTAGTTCCATATTTTTGAAACTTTCTATAATTTTACACATTAATTTTATATTCTGAAATGTTATTTTTATCAAAAGGAGTGAGACACGACAATAGGGGAAAGTTGATAAAATCTGTGTAGTCCTGGAAAAAAAAAAAAACCTGAACTCAAAGTCATGGGAAATCAGATGGAAAACAGAAGCTCCGTATTGCTCAAACCATCAGAAGATGGAGATGGAAACACTATATATAGATCAGACGCACAGAATGGGGCAAGGCCAAGTTTAAGAAAGAACAGATTCAACTCCAGTGGTCTTCGTTAAATGGTTTTATCAGGACCCTGTGAATAAATGAGAGTTATGAGCACCTGCCCCCTCCTGTGCAAACGAGTGTCTAGGCACCTGCTAGATCACTGTTAGCTAGTTTTTATCATGCTTAAGTTCCGAATTTAAAAACCCTTCCAGCATGGTTCGAGAGAGGACATTTCCTGGCTTGCAGACTAGGCGAATGACAGCTGAAAGAAAAAGAATCTTGTGAGCCTCCTCTGGTTGGCACCCAGGAAAGGACACTCCTCTCTAGGTGAGCCCACGCATCCCTAACCTCACGCCCCACCCACACAGCGTTGGGTCAGTGGCAGAAGGTCCTGTATAGACCCTGCCCTGGCCCTGTGCTTGCCCATTACTGCACACACTGAGATGCACAAAAGCCAGCCTCAAACATTGCCATTCTCCAGACCACCTCTCCGACACCCACCCTGGCTCCTCCCTTTGGACTTCTTGGTCCTGGACAATCTTCTAGATCCCATGCAGGGCTCCCACTTTTTATCCAGCTCCAATACTTAACAAACTTGTTTGCAGCCGGCTTGGACCTTAAAATCCTTCCACGACTCATCTTTCAATATTTGTCCTACAGCAGCCTGATGTCCCACGATAACTCCAGGCACAGAGCCCTTGCAGCAGATGCTGTCAGTGTCTCACGCATATTCCCACTTCCTGGTCATGCCAGCCTGACTTCCACTTCCAGCATCTGTAGGGCCCGGCCTGAGGCGTTTGTCTGGTCACAAGAGCCTACTCTGCCCTGTGTGCAGCAGGTCAAAGTCACAAGGAATAAACAACTCCTTGCAAGAGCCTTCAACCAATCACAAGTGGAAGCTGGTGGATAAATACTGCAGCTCCCTTGCCACTCAGATGGGATGCCCCTGAGCACTGTATTGTCCTTGTTTCCTTGAGTTTCCCAGCTCCAGTTGTCCACAGTGGATACTCGCTTGGCAATGCATCATAGATTGGATTCCATCTCTTTCCTCACTCACTTCCCCACCTCCCTACAGAGGTTATCTGGGATCATCAACTTAAAGAACCACTTGCCTCTGGATTTTCTTTTCTCACAGTCTGTTGCTGACAAAAACCAAAATCAGACAGCACCTCACACCATGCCATATGGAATCAGCCTTTGAAGTCTGACCCTTGGCTGTTTCCAGGTCTGTCTATGCTGGGAGGTAGGTGGGTCAGATACAGAAGCTGGTGGGGTCCATGTCCCTCCCCTGTTCGACCTCTGGGACTCACCTCTGTGGTGCCGGGCCACAATCACAGATGGGACAGAAAACATCACATCTGCTAACAAGTCCAGGAACAGGTCTTTCTTTTTGACAGGGTCATCTGTTCCTCCTAAGTATTTCTCAGTGGCTTCTGGAATCAGTTCCTTAGCAATGTACTGAAATAGATCAATAAAGTGACCACAACCCCCTGGTGAGTGATGCTGCTTCTCCAGCCCACCAGTAAGGGCTGCCTCAATGGTGAATCTCATGAGCCCTGTGCAACTCCCTGCTAGGGTGAAAAGTGAAGTGGGAAGGATAGAAAGATGAGGGAAACCCTGAGGCCCTGTCATCATTCTGCCATTTATTTGCTCCACGATTTTTGGCAAGTCATCATCCCTCTCTGCATCTCAGCCAATTCCCACGATTCTTAGACTCTTACAACAAGGGGATAGGACTTCCACAAGAGTGACATGGCTGTCTTCTGGTCCAGTTTCCCTTCGGACAGTGGATAGCCCATCAACTGGTTAAAAAAAAAAAAAGTTAAGCATGTATGAATCATTGGGAATTAATGAGAAGAAATAAACTTACCAACCGACCAAACCAATGCAGACTGAAAGTCCTCTAATTTGGTGGGATTTTAAGGACATGGGTCTTTACTGAAATGGACAAAATCAATTAATCAAATGGGCTTACATCCAGAAATTCAAGCATTGCAAAGATTACCAAAATTTTTTTTCTTCTAAGAGAAGCTGTGACAGTATTTTGCAGTGTGTGTGCGTGTGTGTGTGTGTGTGAGCGTGTGTGTATGGCTGGGATCCCTACAATGGTCAGTGACATGGAGAGCCAAGGTTTCTGCCAGGCCAGTGTGGAATGGAGGACTCTGGAGAAGAGGATGTAGACCTCCCAAGTACTGCCACGTGTCACAGATGACACTGAAAGCCTTAGATCCTGCCTTCATGGTTTTGGTCTTTGGCAGAACCTCTGAAATCCTTCTGAGGGGCGAACTGCACATCTCTATGCACATAACATTTCTTCCCAAACCTCTGCACTCAGAGACTCGATCAAACTCTAGCATCGCTTATAGCAGCTTAAGGCTGTGTCCCTAGAATGACCCCAGTATCCTTAACATACCTGCCTGGGAAGGCTCAACCTTGCCCGGACAATTTACTCTGCTCCAGCCAAAACCTGGACAGAAGCAGAAAGGCCGCTGAATCCAATTAGAGCAGTTACTTTAGAAAACCTGCAATGACAAACCCTTTCTCTGCCCTTTGGGATGTGAATCTACCACCCAACCCTGTTTCCTGGAGGACCTGAGAGCCTTCTCCTTGCAATGCAAACATTCAGGGAGCTCACTCCTGATCTTCCCACTCCCTGTGGAAGGAGTAGAGGCTGACTTCAGTGGTTTCTTCCTGCAGTCTAACGCATGGCTTCCTGTCCTGAAGATAAGAGAAGTTTGTTTCTGCCCCAGGTGAGCCAGGATGAAGACATCCAGGTGGCCTAGCCACATGGACCAAGCCCCTCCCCACAGACCACAGTGTGTTTCCCTTGGCACACCTGGCCTATGAAACATTGCCAGGCTTCTGTTTTGGGGATGTGAGTTCAGTCCATGCTGGACTGTTTTCCCTATTGCAATCATGTTACTGAATAAACTCATCCTACAACTTTAATCAGGGTCAGCTTTGTTTATCTTCAACTGGAAGGAGAACCCTTCTTTACTTTTAGAGGTCAATCACTTTTTCCATTTATTTGTTTCCATCTTTTATTTGAGGTTTGGGGGTACCTGTGCAGGTTTCGTCATGGGTAATTTGGGTCTTTGGAGTTTGCTGCATAGATTATTTTATCACCAAGTATTTATCATGGCACCTGATTTGGTAGCTTTTCCATCCTCATCTTCCTCTGACCCTGCACTCTCAAGTAGACCCTGATGTCTACTATTCCCTAGAAGTCAATGGTAACTCAAGAAGAAGCCACTTTCTTTGGATATTTCCAATGAGATGATGAAGAGCATGAGTGATTTTCAGGGGAACTATGCATAGGCAGCCCGAGGTGGGAAGCTAGGAAGCCCCTGACTGACTGCCTCTCTGTACTCCTCAGCTCCTTCCCACTTCTAGGCCCTCTCAGTTTTCCCATCTGCATAGTTATTTTCTCTACTGGCCCTCCCAGCACAGGCACTTCAGGATTCTTCAATAGGAAGACAATCAGAGAATCTAGGGAGAGGGAATCCCAGGGTCTTGATACCCAGGTGGCCACTGTGCCCTCTTGGAGAAGGTTTCCATGGAAATGGTAACTCCTGCTGAAGGGGACAGCTGCCCGGGACTCAGAGTGGGGCTCAGAGAGGGAAGCACTCCTGGGACCAGAGACAGGAGGGCTGATGGGGGTGGGTGAGTCCTTCCAAGAGGCCTGCGCCTTCTCACCATTGGAATAATCCAGCCACACTCCTGCTTGTTAAATCCAACCATGTAGGGAACAGTGTGGAACTTCCTTTCAGCTTGAAGCTCTTCAGGTGTTTTCAGCAGCAGCACCCCATCAATCACGGTGGTCAAGAAAGGGTGACTCTGGGAGACAAAAGTGCGGCGCCTGTGATTCCCTCCCTGGTCACACCCATGTCCCCAACTCTGCCTGTCTGAGGGTGAGACCGGTACCACACACCGGCGTGACTATGGGCCATGGCTGCACGTGCTCAGGGTCCTAACTTAAGGGGGTAGGTCTCTGTGACTCAGGGGTAGAACTTCAGGCAGAGGCTGACACTGGTCAGGTGATGAGGAGAGGAAGGAGTCTTCACTCAGGTTGAAATATATGTATTATCTATATAAAATTACATGTTTATATATTTCAATTTGAAGTGCATGCATTTCCCTCTCTGTGTCCACAGTTGATTTTTGGTAGTCCTGGTAGTTGTTTCTGATAAAGCTCCCATGAGTGCTGAATTAGAGAATACAGAGTCATCACTCAAAGGGGAAATACTGGGTTAGGCTCTTGCAAACCTCTGGCCACAACATTTTCATCAACCTTCTTTTATGTGTGGGTTTCTGTTGAAAGACATTTCCACAGCTCCATTCCACACAAAAGGCGTTACTTTAGCCCTTTCCATCACAGCTTTATGCATGAATCAGCCAATTTCCTTCTCCTTTTTCTGAACGTGCTATTTTGTGGATTTGTCAACACCGAATGCATGGCCAGCAGCTCTGCAGCTCCTGCCTCACCCAAGCTTGTCTCACACAGGCACCTTCCCCGTAAGGCACAGCACAGCCTGCTTAGCTCAGGAATGCCAGACAGCCGCGCTCCTCTTGGGGCCACTCTAAACAGTGACATCACCACAAAAAGCACAAAAATGCAGACCACATGTCACTAAATAGACCACGAAGAGGACACTTGTTAGCACGAGAGATGAAACGAGAAGACAGAGGTTGCCTTGCCGGATCTCAGATGGAACGTGCCCATCATGCAAATCCACCTTCCCCTGCTCTGTGCCTGCCTGTGTGTGACCATGAGAGTGCCACCAGTATTGATTTTGGGGTTACAAGGACATTTTAGCAAGCAGGTGAATTTATAAACGCAGAATCCATAATTAATGAGGAGAGATGGTGCTATCTATCTGAATTTAAACAAGAGCTGTTACTGATCCATGGGTGGCTTTGAGGAGGTACTGAACCGTCATCACTCAAGGAGCCTAAACTAGGACTTGATTCCCTATTAGAGAGAAAATCATGAAGAAAAGAATCAGTGATGAACTCACAGTATATTGATCCATGTCTTAATTTTAGGTTTTACCTTTGATGAATAATTTTTATGCTGTCACAGATTAGAGAGAGCCTGACTCACGTGTTGCCATCAGGGCAGCTGGTCCTGGGTAGTTATATTTTTATATTTCATATTTAGTCACAATGGTGTAGTTGCTAAGATAGAGCATGGACATTGAAAGCAGATTAACTGGATCTGAAGCCTGGCTCTGCTACTTACTGGCTGGGAGTTTCACCTGTTTGGGCCTCAGTTTTCTCATGTAAGAGGTGAGTTATTATGAAGACTAAATGGCTGAACACATGTGAAATATTTAGCACAGCACCTGATATCCAGAAGGGCTAAATAAATGTTAGGTATTACTTGTTAGCAGGGTTGCTGCGGGTCCCTCTCAGAGACATCAGTCCTCTGTGCCATCTTCCCAGTTCCACGCCCCATGGGCTGTATTTCCCTCCTGGATATCAGATGGAACTGGACAATTCCTAGCCTTTGAGACCCTATGGCTTCTGGGACCTTTGGTCTGGTCTACAAAAGCCAATGATTGACAAGCTAGTTCAGGCTGCCTGGGGGAGATATTTTGTGAAGTGGACCAGACCCAGCTGGACAAGGTGCAGATCGTAATCCAATATGGTGACAATACGGAACAGGATTGGGGTGCAAGTCTTGCCTCTTTGAGAGGCTGTCCAAGAAGGCCTGCCCTGGGAGGGCAGCAAGAGGAGCAGCCCCTCTGGAAGGAAGATGCACGGCAGGCTACGTGGAGGAGGCGCTGCCCGCCTGCGGTGGGCTCTGGGCAGTGAATTGTATTGACAGGTGAGGAAAGGAGTGAGAATTTCTAAACAGTGGGAATTGCATGAGCAAAAGGACACAGGTGTCACTGTACAGGGTCAATTCCAGAAACACCCAAGAGTTCTGGGCTTGGAGAAATACCGTGCGGCAGAGTCTAGAGGGAGGGACAGCTGCAGAGCCTACCTTCTGCACAGTCTGGCACACAGTGTGCATGCAGGTGTGCTTTGAAGGCCTAACTCCATGGAGGGAAGGGGATGTGTCTCATAAGGAAGGCCAGGCTTTTAAGAAGTGGGGGTGACATACTCTAACTCTGTTAAGGAAGGCGAGTCTGGCTGCACAAAGAGACATGGAAATGGGGAGGGAAGGTGAAGTAGAAGATATAAAAGTTGAAGAGAGAGACAGAGCACCCCAGTTGGGCAGCAGCCATGCGGAAGACTCCCATCAGCAACAATGACAAGTGATTGCTGCTGTCCACTCAGAGTTTTCAAGTGGCTGCCCTGTGTGGGCATGACCTTGCTTGTGTCAGAAAACTCAGGGCATCTTCCACTCCCCTGTCTTTCTCGCCCGCTGCATCCTGTCCATCAGCAAATCCTCTCAGCTATTCCTTCCAAGACATCCAGACTCCAACCACTCCTCCCATCCCCACTGCCACAGCTCTGTCTAAGCAGCCAGGAGCCCTGGCCTGGATTATGGCAACACAGTGGCCGCCCAGCTGGTCAACTGCATCCACTCTGCCCCTTTCCTACAGTCTATTTGAACACCAGAGGCAGAGACCTTTGTGAGATCTAAGATCATGTGACTCCTCTGTTCAAAACCTCCAAAGGCTTCCCATCTTGCTCAGAATCCAAATCCAAATACTTTAAATGATCCCTCTCCCACTGCCCATTACCCCTTTAGCATCAGGCCAGTCTATCCGCACACTTGGTCCTCTCCATCCAGACTGGCCACTTCCATCAGGGTCTTTGCAGTGGCTTTTCCCTCTGCCTGGAATAGGCTTCTCCGGATTTCCTGACTTCTCCAGAGCTTGGCTCAAATGCCACCTTCTCACTGAGCCATTCCTTGATCCTGCTACTTCAACCGAAACCCCCCACAAACTCTATCCCCTAATGCTGCACACCATCAAACAGAATACACACTTGATTTGCTTTTCTATTGCACTCTCCCTGCACTGTAATGGAGGGTCCCAAGAGGGCAGGGAATCTTTCTTGTTTCATTTCTTTATCCCCAGCTCCTAAACAAGTCCTGGCACATATGATGTGTTTATTAAGTCTTTGCTGAATGAATCTCATGTACGCCTCCCAAGACCTTTTAAGGACAGTGCTGTGACTTCCAGGGAAGTAGCATAGAGGACAGGATTGTAAGATGCTGCAGAGGTGATGTCACCAGAAACAGTCAACCCACTGGGCAGTGGGGGTGGGGGTGAGGAGATCGGGAGGATATGTTGGAGTTTCCTGTGTGCTGGGAGGAGGCGAGTGCCCTTGGACTGAGATTCAGGCTTCCCCTCTCCATGCCTGATCATCCCTGTTATCTCTGCTTCCTGATAGTGGAAGGTTCTGGTTCAGCCTCCTCCCATAGTGCCATTTTGAGGAGCAGACAACGTAAAATAGAAGGGGAGTGCGCAGAGCCCAGTGCACGCAGAGGTGAGGCCTGGGAGCACTGGACTGGGAGTCAGGAAAATGGGTTCCAGGCCTGCCGCTAGTCTTCCTGGCTGTGTTACCCAGGTGAGTCATTGCCCCTCTCTGGGCCTCAGCAACAAACACACAGGAGTTACTATAATTACCCGAGAGAGGATTCTTTCACTCACAGCTAATTGGAACTTAAAGGTGCTAAGACTCAAAACCTGTAATTGAGAAACAAAAGCTCCTTACCTCTCTGGGGTCTCCATGTAAATCCAGAGAGAAGAATTTCTGTGAAGACAAAGGCAGAGGATGTGGGTTAGAGGCTTCCCAGGAGAACACTGAGCTGGGTGACTGGGTCAATAGAGGTGTCAGGTTCTCCCTCGTGGTGCCAAGCTGGCTGGGCTGAAAGGAAGTGGGCAGGACTCCGGCTCCGCTGGGCCTGAGCACAGGATGAAGGCATAGCAGGGAAGGGTGGGCACTCGCATGGGAAGGACGGGCCAGGGACTCTGAGCCAGAGTTGATGGAACTCTGGAGAGGACGCCCACTGGTTGTGGCTGCCCGGCCCCCAATCCCTCTCCCCTACTTCTTCCCCCGGGAAGAACATGCAATTCTCCTTCGGAGACCTCCTTCTTCCCCCATCACTCCATGAATTCATACATCTATATGCCACCTGGTGTGCTCCATCTCTCTGAACATGAATATTAGCTCAGGAATGGGCATACACCCCTGTCAATCCAATAGAGTTTACCCCAAAACTTTTGCAGGAATTGTTTAGAAAGAGGATTTTTATAAATTACCTTGGGCAGTATGGCCATTTTCACAATATTGATTCTTCCTATCCATGAGCATGGTATGTTCTTCCATTTGTTTGTGTCCTCTTTTATTATAGATTCAATGCCATCCCCACTAAGCTACCAATGACTTTCTTCACAGAATTGGAAAAAACTGCTTTAAAGTTCATATGGAAACAAAAACAACCCTGCATTGCCAAGACATTCCTAAGCCAAAAGAACAAAGCTGGAGGCATCACGCTACCTGACTTCAGACTATACTACAAGGCTACAGTAACCAAAACAGCATGGTACTGGTACCAAAACAGAGATATAGACCAATGGAACAGAACAGAGCCCTCAGAAGGAGTACCACACATCTACAGCCATCTGATCTTTGACAAACCTGACAAAAACAAGAAATGGGGAAAGGATTCCCTATTTAATAAATGGTGCTGGGAAAATTGGCTAGCCATAAGTAGAAAGCTGAAACTGGATCCTTTCCTTACTCCTTTTACAAAAATTAATTCAAGATGGATTAAAGACTTAAATGTTAGAGCTAAAACCGTTAAAACCCTAGAAGAAAACCAGGTAATACCATTCAGGACATAGGCATGGGCAAGGACTTCATGTCTAAAACACCAAAAGCAATGGCAACAAAAACCAAAATTGACAAACGGGATCTAATTAAACTAAAGATATTATGCACAGCAAAAGAAACTACCATCAGAGTGAACAGGCAACCTATAGAATGGGAGAAAATTTTTGCAATCTACTCATCTGATAAAGGACTAATATCCAGAACCTATAAAGAACTCAATCAAATTTACAAGAAAAAAAAAAAAACATCAAAAAGTGGGCAAAGGATATGAACAGACACTTCTCAAAAGAAGACATTCATACAGCCAACGGACACATGAAAAAATGCTCATCATCACTCGCCATCAGAGAAATGCAAATCAAAACCACAATGAGATACCATCTCACACCAGTTAGAATGGCAATCATTAAAAAATCAGGAAACAACAGGTGCTGGAGAGGATGTGGAGAAACAGGAACACTTTTAAACTGTTGGTGGGACTGTAAACTAGTTCAACCATTGTGTAAAACAGTGTGGCGATTCCTCAACGATCTAGAACTAGAAATACCATTTGACCCAGCCATCCCATTACTGGGGATATACCCAAAGGATTGTAAGTCATGCTGCTATAAAGACATATGCACACGTATGTTTAATGTGGCACTATTCACAATAGCAAAGACTTGGAATCAACCCAAATGTCCGTCTGTGACAGACTGGATTAAGAAAATGTGGCACATATACACCATGGAATACTATGCAGCCATAAAAAAGGATGAGTTGGTGTCCTCTGTAGGGACATGGATGCAGCTGGAAACCATCATTCCCAGCAAACTATTGCAAGACAGAAAACCAAATACCACATGTTCTCACTCATAGGTGGGAATTGAACAATGAGATCACTTCGACACAGGAAGGGGAACATCACACACCGGGTCTTATTGTGGGGATGGAGGGAGGAGAGGGATAGAGTTAGGAGATATACCTAATGTAAATGACGAGTTAATGGGTGCAGCACACCACCATATGGCACATGTATACATATGTAACAAGCCTGCACGTTGCATACATGTACCCTAGAACCTAAAGTATAATAAAAAAATAAATAAATAAAATAAAAAAGGAAGTAGTAACTTTTACCAGAGTAGGAATGGATGATGGACTAACGTTAAAAAATAAACATATATCATACAACAGCAACAAAAATAAATAAATAAATAAAAAATAAAAATAAATTTTAAAAAAAGAAAGGGTTTTTAAGCAGAGAGGATGCTGTCTTTAACCTTTCCAGGAGACATATCTGCCTAAGAGTGAAGCCAACACAGACGTGCAAAGCTGAAGGATAGAGAATGGTAGATTCTCAATAATATCCTCTGATCATCTGGATCCAGCCATGCCTGAAGCCATCAACTCCTGAGATTTCCAGTTTACAAGAGGATGCTATTGAATCCATTTCTTTTTCTGTTCAAGGCACTTGGGAGAGTCTCCTCATCTCCCATTAGAAAGCCCTGACTCATACAAGCTCACTGAGTCTCATCCTACCCCATGCTTCTCTTTGGTGTGTGTTCACCAACATTACAGTGACTGTAATGTTGCACTGTAGTTCACAGGTCTGACCTCTGCTCAGGACGTAACCAGTGAAGCTCCCTCCATTAAGGATCGTAGTCCCACTAGTCAGGAGTGTGTGTGTAGGGGGGGGGTGTGGGTGTGGGTGTTTGTGTGTGTGTGTCTGTGTGTGTCTCTGTGTGTGTGTGTCTGTATATGTGTGTGTCTGTGTGTGTGTGTGTGTGCATGTGTGTTTACAGGAGGCAGTGGGTAATCATGGAGGCACTTCCACAAGATCTCAGGAAAACTCAAAAGGATGTCCCAGGATCTTAGGGATGGGTTTTCCCAAAGACTCAACTCTTCCCTTTTAACCTGGGTCCTCTGATGCCACATGCAGAATTGCTGGAATATTCGCCTCCTTCCAGGCATGAGAAAACAGGTGTGTTTTAATTCCTTGAGCACTTTGGTCACTTAGAGCCTGAGCCAAGACCTAAGCCCCAAGACCACACTGGACTCAACCCATGGAAACACAAGTAGAGTTCAGTGGTAAAAGCTGGCCCTGAGACCCAGGAGTAGCCTCAGGTCCAAGGAGAGAGTCCAGGGATCAGGCTACTCCTGAGCTTGGAATTTACACCCTTCTCCCTCAAAGGCAATAGTTTGCAGTGTCCCTGGGTGCTGTGTCATCTGGGTGTTTGTCCTGCTGGGCTTCCCTGTGATGAGAGACTGCCATGGCCATCCATCAGTCCTAAAGGTCCACAAGTCCTAATATGTGAGGATAGCAGGGCCAGCAGAAGATACTCTAGACCTGCAGGTGTGGGTTGTAGATCCCACAGTGTTGCTTCTGTGACTAATTTGAACTGTAACATGGGCCAATTACAAAATTCATCTGTTTTTGTTACCTCTATTAAAATGGGCACAATGATCTCAAAGCTGAATTTCTCAAGAAAGATAAGGTGGAGTCAGGGTTAAGGGCATGAACTCCCGAATTCCACTGTCTGGTCTCAAACCCGGCTCCTCCACTTTCCCTGTGAAGCATCCCTGATGACTATAATGAATGCTTGCCCTCTGTGCTGCCACCATACTCAACCTGTGAAGTATACGAATGTGTTTCTCTTTGGATAGATCCTTGTGAGTAGGGACTATGTCCACTTCATGTCTGTTTTGCTACCACTAACACCCATCCCTACATACTGAGCATGGATGGATGGATGGATCAACAGAGGGATGGATGGAGTTGGTCAATACATGAGGTATAGTTGGATTGGATGGATACATGAATAGATGGGTGGAAACTAGCGGATAGGTGATAACTGGATTGTTGGTTTTGGAGGAATGGGTGATGGAGTGAAGATATAAGGTGACTGGATGATCCATGAATGGTGGATGGATTGAAAATAGATAAACACAAAGTTATGAATAGGTGGACATTAGATTGATAAAAAGATATGAGTTAATCGGATGGATTAGTGAACAGACAGATGGATAAGAAGATCATAGTAGATGGGTTAACAAATGGGTGGACGGATGACTATCCTAGGATGAAAACTGAGTCAGAGTCTCAGAAAATCTAGAAAACTGGACCACCACCAGGTATAATACAGACAGTTTCTAAGTCAACCAAGATAAATTGTGACATCTTTCTGAAAATCTTTGAGCTTAATATCTCCATCCCCCAAATTCAGAATGATGGTGTCCCCTGGGAATATATGACATTTAATTTCTTAACGATAAGTGTGAAAACAAGAATGGCAAAATAATAAATTTTGGTCAGGATTGAGGATTGTTACACAATTTTTTATCAAGTTGTTTTTGGACTTTTTTTTACATTTGTGGCATTTTACACTAAAAAAGGACAAATCAGATTCCCCATTCATATACTGAGGCTCCTGAAAGGTGAGACACTGTCCCAGGTAACTGTCCCAAGGCAAGAGTACGGCTGAAATGAAGAAGTCTGGGACGAAGTTTACAGGGTTTGGGCTATGGGAACGGGCACACCTACCATTTTCAATGTTGTCTCCAAGAGCTCCTCTTCTGTCTTCTGTCGCAGGCAGTGAACCATGACAGCTGAGGTGGTGGTTTGACACCCAGCAGCGATAGCAATTTGCTGCAAAGATCACAGGCAACAGCAGAGTTCAAGAGCTATTTCCCTTCCCTCCACCAAAGTGGAAAGTGGCATACTATCCCAAGCCCACCTTGTACAAGTGGCAGGGGGCAGCAGAAGATACTGTAGACCCACAGGTGTGGGTTCCAGATCCCACAGAGTGTTGCCTCTGTTACTTGTCTCAATTGTAACATGGGTCAATTATGTAATCTCTCATCTCTGCTACCTTATCTCCATTGCAATGGACATAATGATCTCAAGCTGAATGTGTCAAGAAAGACGAGGTGGAACTACAGTAGAGAGCATGGAATCCTGAATTTCCTTGTCTGCTTTCAAATCCCGGCTGCTCCTCTTACCAGCCATTAGGCCGCAGGCAGTCCACCTGATTTCTTTGGGCCTTGGTTTCTCCACCCATGGATGGGAATAAAGACTGCACCTACCTCATGAGTTAATACATGTGGGAGAGTGCCACGTCTCCCACACAATAAACACGTGCGGAATTGCAGGAGGCCTAGCTAAGATGATTCACACAGAGGCACTTCAGAAGGTAGCGAATGTGCTTTAAAGGTGAGTTCTAAAGAAAAACAGGATGTCTTCCCTTGTAAGACATAGACGGGGTTTCTCAGCTGAGTGAGGCGTCTGTGGCACAGCCAGGAGTTTCCAGCAGCACATTTGTGTACTAGAGTCACAAGCAGTAATCAAGCACGACTCTTTAAGGCATAGGTCGGCGATGTGCCCATCAAGGCCAAATAGTAAATATTTGAGGCTTTGTGGGCCATGTGGTCTGTGCTGCAACTTTAACACTGCTGTTGACATGAAACACAGCCATAGACATGAGGTAAATGATTGGGTGTCGCTGTGTTCAGAGAAAACTTTCTTTATGGACACTGAAACTTGAATTTCATATAATTTTATGGTTCATGAAATATTATTCTTCTTTTGATTCCTTTCAATCATCAAAAAATTTTTAAAAACCTATCTTAACTCAAGGGCCACGCAGGCATAGATCCAGATGTGACCATGAGCGATGGTCTGTTCACCTTTGTCCTAAGTCAAGCCACAGAGCAACACCAATTAGTGCACCAAGAACTCCTTCAATCTTTAAAAATATGTAAAAATAAAAAAAGTCCTCCTGAGAGTAAGGCTCCCTTATGCCTGTCCTGGGGATTGGAGTCAGTCTGCCCAGCACACTCTGGTTTCCTTCTTTTCTAAGAGTCCAGGGACATCGAAACAAAGACAGGACAGTGAGCCTCTCTCCTAAGTGACCTGGAATTGGGGCGGAGAGCTGCTAATGTAAAAACGCTCATTTTTCACAACTGAAAAGACAGCCTGACTACTTTCTGGAACCAAAGGAGAGTCCTTAAACTTAGGGGCAGATAGGGTGCTCATGCAGACTGGAAACAAAGTACAGCCAGAAAGAAGGGCACAGAGGGAAAGCAGGCAGGCTCCATGGTGGGGAGGCAGAGCAAGTGCACAGGCCGCCAGAGTCTGGTGCAGGTTCTGGGACAGAATCAATGCCCAGGGTGTTTCTCGAGTAAATAAACAGGGAAAGGGAGAAGTAGAGGGCAAGAGAGAGAGAAAGATATTCAGAGAGAGGGAGAGAGGAAAAAGAGTAAGAGAGTCTAGGATTCCCATTATTGTGTAATTTCTGTTTCCTGTTTTTTCACAAAGCTCAGCCTCATCCCAGACCTCTATTTCCTTCAAAAATTAATTCTACTTTTATAAAGAAGATTTTGAGACAAGGTCTTGCTTTGTCATCCAGGCTGGAGTGCCGTGGTGCAAACACAGTTCACTGCAGCCTAGACCTCCAGGGCTCGGGTGATCCTCCCTCTTCAGCCTCCCATGTAGATGGGCCCAGAGGCTTGCACCACCATGCCTAGCTCAATATTTTGATATTTTGTAGAGACAGGGTCTCACTTTGTTGCCCTGGCTGGTCTTGAACTCCTGGGCTCAAGCAATCCTTCTGCCTCGGCCTCCCAAGTTGCAGGGATGACAGGCATGAGCCACCACACCAGGCTAATGCTCATTCTTGACTTAAGTTGGGTCAATGGGCGACTGTTGCTTATAACCAGTGAATTCTAAAAAAATTCTGAAAAATTCTAAAAATTCTTGACATCCCCATTTTCTCTCCTATGTACCAGCCCTTTAAATTTGGATGCTGTCCTCAAACAAGCTTTCACATCTACTGAAATCCTCCATGCCACTGGCTCCAATGGGCACTCCTCAGCCTAGGTCTGGATTCCTATTTGTCACCTCTTCCTTTGGCTTCCAATCATTCTCCAGACAATGACAAAATCCTTGCCAGGGTCCTGTGCAGTGTGACCCCTGCCAACATCCCAGCTCTCAGTACTCGCCACGCTCCCTCTGCTCTCCCTGCTCTGACCCCATCGGCCCTGTCTCTGTCTCTCGCTCGCGATTGGGATGCGGCCTCCTGCCACAGGACACCCGCACTTGCTGCTCCCACTCCCTGGACATTCTTTGCTCCTGACTCACTGGTCACTTTTCCAGCAAGCCTTCTCTGGTAACCTCTTCCCGCCCCAGGACTCACTCCTCTCTTTAGATTCTGCTGTGGCAGCAAGTACCTCATCTTCACTGCTCTTGTCATAGGTGACGCTTTGTAATTGTGTGATTCTGTAACTACTCATCTATTCCCTACATTATAGCAGAAGCTTGGGGAGGCATTAGGTGTTTGGCTAGAATGCAGAGCCACATAAGGCCATATAGTGTCCACATTTCCTCCGCACAGACATCTGGCTTTGAGCCAAACAATGACCTCTGCCCACTTCTTGTTCTTGCCTTCAATTATTCACCTAGTTTTGTTGTGTGAACAAATGAAACAATGAATGAATTCTCCAGGAACCAACCCTGGTTATCAGGTGCTCAGTGTGGAACCTCTCCAGGCCTACAGCCCACAAGTGGGTCCACAGAACTCAGACCCTGAGAGATACAAGACATCATCTCAGCCTACTGCCCCCTGCCCACTGCCCAACATGGCACCAGGCCCTGGCACATAGGAGGAGTGTGGTCACAGACAGGGCACTGTACTGGCTGCAAAGGCCAGGAGCTGGAGTCCCAGCTCTGCCTTGATCACCTGCTGCCCTTGGCAAATCCCTTCCACGCCTTGTGTCGGTTTCCCCGGTTGTGAAACTGGGACGTTGATCAAGGTGTCTCCTCGCCCTTCCTGCTCAGCCACTGATGCCTCAAGTGATTCTAGGAGAACATTAGCTAGAACCCACTGCAAGAGAGACCCCTGAGGATTCAGGAGCATAGAGCCAAGGGGGTGGGGGTGTCCACCAGGAGACCTACCTCAGCCAAGGGCTTGACATCGTCTTTCTTCACCAGAACAGCAGTGAGGGCCACGCCACTCTCAGAAATGGCCCGGTGGAAGAGGTTCTTTGCCAATGGAGACAAAACCTGAGACCAGAGTGGAGGGGAGGAGAGTTCATGCTCAGGAGTGGGGTCAGTGACTTGCTCGCTCTTCCAGGCTACATCTACCCCACCTCTGCCCTGACCCATTCCCCTGAGACCCTGGGGCTCAGTGGACGCAATGACTCCTCACCTGGCCCTGCCTGCTTGCCAGGCTCTCCGCCCACCTGGCCACCCAAGGGAACCTCAGCGGGATTGGGACAGAGCACAGGGCAGGGACATAATGGGAGGTATGTGGCAGCCGAGCCTAACCAACAAATTTATTGGAAAGGCAGCTTAGCATTTCCTAGCCACAACTTCCAAATCAGCATCTCCATTAATCAGAGTTTATCCTAAAAAGTGATCCTGGTGGCACACAAAGATTTCTAAGAATGCCTCTGCTGTTTATAATGATACACACTGGAAATAACTCACAGTTCCAATATTATACAATTGGGCTAATAAATGGTTTTTCATTTTTATCATGGAATACTGTGCAACTGTAAAAGATACTATTAAGGGACAGCACTTAATATTTAGTAAAATAGTTGCACTGTATTATAATATTCAGGAAAGTACTTTTGTAAATAAAAAAGACAAAGATAATAGATGATAGGTAGATTCATTGATAGGTAGATGGATGGATAGATGGATAGACAGATAAATAAAAAGTCAAGGAAACAAGACTAGAAAAATCCATGTCAAACTGAGCACAGTGACTATCCCCGGGTTATGGGATTGTAGATGGCTTTTTGTCTTTCTTGGGCTTATCTGTATTTTTCGTTTTTCTCTACTTTAAAAAGTATAAAAATTTTTCCTCTTGTATTCAAGTACAAAACCAACACAGGATTGAAGACTCCAGCAGTGGGCTGACCCTCTGCCCACCTCGAGGCAGGCGGAAGGATTCCTACAGCTCCCAGCACTTCTCATCTGGTTTTTCACCCCAGCTCCCCGTTTCTCCTGCACCCAATCCCCCACCCCAGCAGGACCCCTCACACACCCAGGTTGCGTCTGTGTCCCACAACCCCTGCCCCATCCCTCCCTATCCCCGGCTCCATCCCTCCTTCCTCTGCCCGCCTCCTCTAGCCCACCCGGCCCAACAGTCACAGAGACTGTTGCCTCCTTCTTGGGCATGGACCAGCCATCAGACCACCCCAGAGGAATCCCCAGCCTGCTCAGTGTCCATGTCCCCTCCACACGTAGTTCTGTTTTAACTAAACAATGACCTCTGTCCACATCTTGTCTTTGCCTGCCCTCACTCATAATTTATGCCTATCCCTACTTCCCAAGAGAAGGGATGTGAGTCCTTATGTGAAAATGAGTGGGAAGGAGAGAGAGAGAGAGAGAGAGAGAGAGAGAGAGCTGAACCAAGCTAGAAGAGGAGAATGTCACCATTGCAGGCTGCAACTGGAGATTCATATGGCCCCTCGACACTAAGCTGAGATCTGAGCTTCCTGGGGGTCAAGGAGAGCTTGTTCTTTAGCTTTCCACCCCCTGATGCTAGGCAGTGAGTAGGGTCAGTTCCAAATCCAGGTATTGTAATCAGAGGTATCCATAGCTGGATTGACAGGTATCCAAGAGGTCTCATCAGCATCACATCAAGCATGGGGTTGGACCTGGTGCCAGGAGTACTCACAAGAACAGAGACACTTTCTCCTCCCGCCGACTCTCCAAAGATGGTCACAGAGCCTGGGTTCCCTCCAAAGCTGGCAATGTTGTCCTGGACCCAGCGCAGGGCAGCCAGCTGGTCCAGGTGACCCCAGTTCCCCCGGCTGTGTTCATCCCCTGTGCTGTAAGGAAGAGAACAGGTTGAGGGTGGGGAGCAGAGATGTCATGGCAGGACCTTCAGGACTAGAGATGGGGCTGGGGGCTCTCAGGGAGCCTTTAAGAATAAGACTGGGCTTCAGCATCTCTGAGACCCTGCCTTTATTCGTACAGCATTGTGGTGATGTATGGTTCTACATTCACTCAACTGGCAACTATTTACTGAGCATCTACTGTATGCCTGACACCATCCTATAAGCTAGAGCACATCCGAGAGCAAAACAGGCAACACCTGTGATGACACAGAGCTTCCACTACAGATCACAAGCAGATAAACAGATGTATAGAGAGAATATAATGATGTCAGGTAGTCAAAGTGCATTGAGGTAAATACAAAGGAATAAGAAAAAAAAACAGGGGTGGCATAGGGGGTGCCATTTCAGATTACAATCAGGGAAGGCCTTTTGGAGGCAGTGGCATTTGAGGTTTTGGAGGCAAAGACCTTCAGAAAACAAGCACAAAGAGCACATGAGCCTTGTAACTCTCCGAAGAAAGGAATTCCAGACAGAAGAAAAAGCAAGTGCAAAGGCCCTGGGGCCCAGTGAAGGAAAGTGTGAGTCAGGAGGTGCAGCTAGAGAGAGCCCTGGGGCCCTGATGAGAACTTTGGCTGTCATCGTAGGGAACATGGGAACCCCTGCAGGATTTTGTGCAGAGGCATTGCAAGATTCAACACACATGTTAAGTGATCACTCTCAGTGCTGTGCGACACAGTCTCAGGATAAAAGTGGCAGGAATCTGAAAGTGTTAGGATCATAATCAAGGTGAGAGACAGAGAGCTTTGACTGGGTAAGGAGCCAGAGAGAAGGTGCGAAGTAGTGGATTCTGAGTGGATTCTGAAGGTGGAGCCAAAAGGGTTGTGAGAAAAGAGAGAGTCCAGGCTGCCCTGAGGCCTTCTCCTGAGCCCCTGGGAGGATGGGACAGCAGCAACTGAGTGGAGGCGTGGTGGGAGGAGCAGGGGATCTCTGTTGTGGAGGGGCAGTGGGAGTTAAGGATTCAGCTTGTCCCTAGGAAGAGTGGGGCGCCCTTTAGACAGCCAAGGGTGGGGAGAAGGCAGTGAGTGATGCCTGCGGGATTCAAAGGTGAGATGGGCTGGAAACAGGGGCTCTGGGCTGCTCCCTGGGATCACTGGAATTAGTAGGGAGGGAGAGGGAGACAAGAGAGGCCTGTGGACAGGGAGGAGGAGGGACCAGGAAAGGGACTGGGAAGGAAGCATGTTGCAGAGGCTGAGCGGCCATTGGCTGCTGCTGGGAGGTCCTGTGAGGTTGGATGGAGAGCAGGGGCAGGTCATTGGTGACTGCGATGAGACCAGCCGAGTGGCGTGTTCAGGAAGAAACCTGACTGGCATGGGTGGAGGAGACACACGGAGGAGAGGAAGTGGAGAGAGATTGTGAAGCAGCTTTATTATAATGGGGAGCAGCGACACAGGCTGTGGCTGAAAGGGATGAAGATGATACTGCCAAGACTGACCTGGGATGCCTTGGTCATGGATAGACCAGAACCCATCCTCCATCTCCCTAGGCAAATATTCTCATCAGTGAGTGGAATCCCTCCCACAGTCCTCCCAACACTCGCTTAGGGTTGGGGTGCTGGGATGGTAACACTTAGAAAAGGTTCATAGTAGTTTGTACCTTGAAGGAGATCTGACTCCTGTCCCCATGGAGACCTGATGGGGAAGACTCCATCCTTGCTTCCTGTACTTGCCAGATTTCAAGCAGAACATGGGGTGAGAGGACCCCAACACTCCTCCAGGAAGGAGTCAGATGCTCCCAAACCCCACCTTTTACAGCCCCCATTCCTTCACCCACAACATGATCTGAGCTCCCTCTGTGACTCTGCCCCTTCCCTGCTTTCCATGAGAAGTCAGATGTGTCAACCTTCAAGAGCTGGGCTGCCTGCTAAGTGTCATGACAGAGAAACGCAATGTGCTGGAGAAACATAGGTGAAGAAGAGATGAGTCTTTCAGTGGAGGTAACTGGGGGTTGGGTCTTGCAGGATGAAGAGGAGTTCTTTAGGTAGAGTAAGCATTCCAGGCAGAGGGAACAGCACATGGAAAAGCTCAGAGGCAAGCGGATGAGTGTGGCTGGGGAGTGAGAGGGTAGGTAGTGTACTATTATGAAGGGGCTTGGATGCCTTACTATGGAACCTAGCTAAGGTCCCCTGAGGGCTGACATGACCAGAGCTGGGTCCCAGCAGCCTCACACTGGGAGTCAAAGTGCAGTGAGTAGAGTCTAATTTCTTACCTGAAGAATCCCCAGATGCCCAGGCGATATTGAATGGTCACCACCACCACGTTTTCATGGGCAGCAAGGGCCAGCCCATCATAGGTTGATGCTGCACCCACCACCAGCCCCCCTCCGTGGATCCACACCATCACCTGGGCAGGGAGGAAGCAACATACCAGTTACAGGACACAGAGCAAGGGAGCACTCAGAAGGTGTCTTGTTTGATGACCTACCTGTTGGTCACAACTGAAGGAGGATGTTATCCAAAGTTCACCAGCGCCCAGCAAGGTTGCAAAAGGCAGTCTCTCTCCTCCAAAATTCTCCCAACTGGGGCCCAAGCCACCACCCCACTGCACATACCCTGGCTGCCCCTTCCTTTCTATCCAGCCTCCAGTGCCTCCTCCTCCCAAGGTTCTTCATGCTGAGAACATCATCATGGGCATAGCAAAGGCTAAGGATGTCGTGTTCTCCCCCTCACTCCCTCAAGCCTGAACTGTTCATGCAGCTCAGTGTACCCTTGAAGAGCCCTTGTATCTCAGCTTCATCTCAGTTTACTCTCTCATGGTGAAGTAAACTTCTCTGTGCTTGAATGATTGTCTCGAGAAGCACACATGCCTGTGATGGTGTCTCTTCCTTAAATGCCTCCTCTATGCCTCTGCATTCCCAAATC